CGCTAAAACAAACGATAACAAAGATTGGGGCAAGACACATCAAGGTTTACGTTATCGATAAATAATTATAACATATCCTGTGGGTTATAAGTTATAACTCCTCATTTCATCCGATAAACATCTGACGTACTCTTGTTGTCGAACACAATGGGGATTGTTTGCAAATGTTAATATATTTCTGATCAAAACTGGGGCAATTAGTAACATCTCTCTAGCTTCATTGTCTTTTTATCTATTTTCTTTAAGTAAACTACCGATTTAAAGTAATATAATGGCCCATAAAAATAAGTAATAACATCATTTTTATCGCTAATGTTTTAACACTTTTATTTAAGTCATCAATTTCGTTAAAAGCTATTTTAAAGTTTATTACTAATTAAAACGATATCATTTTTATTTTTCTAAATCTGAATCATATCATCCATCACAAGAATTGAAATGAAGAATGAGGAAGGAAATATTGAAAATATATACAATAGTAGCAGTATCGATAGAATTAATCTAGACCTAGAATTATTATAGAAACATTCAGATTTAGCCTTGTGTCTTTCAAGACGACTAAACCCGAATATTTCTAGTTCTAGGTTTAATTCTAGTGATAGTGCTAGTATTAGTTTTAATAGCTAGAATTAATACTTGATAAATTAATACTCTTTACTAACTTTCTAGTTCTAGATCTAGTGTAGTTTTACACTAGTATTATCACAACATAGTGATATCTTATGCTCACTAACGTTAACACTGTCACTAGAACTAACATTCTAGGTCTAGAACAAGAAACATTCGGATTTAGCCGCACGTCTCTCAAGATGGCTAAATCCAACTGATGCCAGGTTTAAGTCTTGTGTTAGTTCTAGTGATAGTGCTAGTGTAAAACTAGAACTAACACTAGACCTAGAACTAGAAAGTATCGAATTTTTCTAATTCTAGGTCTAGTGTTAGTTCTAGTTTTAGTGCAATTAAAATATGCAACATAGTGATATCTTATGCTAACTAACGCTACCATTATCACTAGAACTAACACAAGACCTAGAACTAGAATCATTCGGGTTTAGCCGTCTTGACAGACGTGCAGCTAAATCCGAATGTTTCAGATCTAGGTCTAGTGTTAGATCTAGTTTTACACTAGCACTATCACTAGAATTAACATAAGACCTACACACCTATCGCACGTCTCTCAAGACGGCTAAATCCAAATGATTCCAGTTCTAGGTCTTGTGTTAGTTCTAGTGATAGTGCTAGTGTAAAACTAGAACTAACACTAGACCTACAACTGGAATCATTTGGATTTAGCCGTCTTGAGAGACGTGCGGTAGGAATTTTTCTAATTCTAGATCTAGTGTTAGTTCTAGTTTTAGTGCAATTAAAATATGCAACATAGTGCTATCTTATGCTAACTAACGCTACCATTGTCACTAGAACTAACACAAAACCTAGAACTAGAATCATTCGGGTTTAGCCGTCTTGAGAGACGTGCGGCTAAATCCGAATGTTTCTAAATCTAGGTCTAGTGTTAGTTCTAGTTTTGCACTAGCACTATTACTAGAACTAACACAAAACCTAGATCTAGAATCATTTTAGCCATCTTGAGAGGCGAATGGCTAAACCCGAATGTTTCTAGTTCTAGGTCTAATGTTTAGTTCTAGGTTTACACTATCACTAGAACTAACACAAAATCTAGAACTAGAATCATTCGGGTTTAGCCGTCTTGAGAGACGTGCGGCTAAATCCGAATGTTTCTAGTTCTCGGTCTAGTCTTAGTTCTAGTTTTACACTAGCACCATTACTAGAACTAACACAAGACCTAGAACTAGAATCATTCNTAGTATTAATTCTCGTTTTAATTGTTATTCAGCGTTAGATTGTAGTATATTGTTATTGACTGAGGGAAATATATTCTTGAACAAAGATTATTACTCTTGGCACAAGCTTATCATATTCTTGTATATCCACAAGATCATTTTGTTAAGGGAAGAAAAACCACATATTCTTAAGAAAACGAATTCTTAGTGAAAGTAAATCAATCATCTTGAAAAAGAGTATCTTAGTGTTGCGTCAACAATCCGATTTTCGAATCGAGAATAAATTTCTTATGTCAAGAATAACGTATCTTTCTTTTTAGAAAAACTTATTCATGTAACAACAATCTTGTATAATATCTTCTTCAATTGAGTATTATAAACTATTGTTGTATTCGTTATTTCTTTCCATTTTAAAGCATTAAATAAAATAACAATGTCTTCTGTTTGTACTTTTATTAAAAATGGATTATTTGTTTTTAATTCTACCGGTTTCGGTTCAATAGTAGAACCATCTTCAGGAACCCTCGAATCTCGTCAATTTATTTTTAAATCTCTTGTGATAGTTAACATGTTAAAAAATTCTTTTCTTCAATTCACAAGAACTTGTGTTTTTTACTTGTAGGGTATTAGCTGTTAAGTTCAAAGTTAGTTAGACAGGAATATGTGCGCACGTTTTCATTCTTGTTTGAGGTTAGAATGTTTGTTTGCAAGTTTTTTTTTAACATGTTAACTATCACAAGAGATTTAAAAATAAATTGACGAGATTCGAGGGTTCCTGAAGATGGTTCTACTATTGAACCGAAACCGGTAGAATTAAAAACAAATAATCCATTTTTAATAAAAGTACAAACAGAAGACATTGTTATTTTATTTAATGCTTTAAAATGGAAAGAAATAACGAATACAACAATAGAAACATTAGGTTTTAGCCGTCTTGAGAGACGCTCGGCTAAGATAGTGTTAGTGTTAATTCTAGTATTAGTTGTTATTTAGCACCAGGTTAAAGAATTATTTCAGATTACATCCAAATAATAACAAAGAGATTACATTTTGTTTTGTTATGATGAATTAAAACATAACGTTCCAGTCAAAATAAAGAGTCTATTTTAATAACGACAAGATTTATTTGGACAGATTTTAAATCACTTGGCGTGAAGTGAGCACTTGTATGTACCGCATATACTTGATTAAACTTTTAAACAATTCGAAAATAAACTATTTGTGCTATAAAAAAGTCGAATAAATTTAATTTAACGATTTTTTTACGATTATTTCTGATGGATTAATTCTTTTATGACGTGTATATTCATTTCTCAAAAGGTCATATCTAACAACCTAATGCCCTTTACACAAAGAAATATTACCGGTGCATCATTTTAATCTTGAGATCGCCTCGTTAAAAAATCTCTTCTATCAAGTTCTTTGACTTTGGCCTTTATTCATCGTATCACGGCGGCAATAAGAAGAGAAAGACGAGGAACCAGTCTACCGTCAGCTGTCCGTCCATATTCCAGCGAAAAAAACGAAGAAAAAATTTCATCGTCTACCTGCGCTAGTGAGACCAAAAGATTACAAAATCCATAAGAAGAAAAGATTTTCTTCTTTATCTACTACATCGTTTTTCTTAATCATTTCTCTTTGTTCCGTATTATTTCATCGTCCTATTTGGGAGGTAGTTACCTGCGAGATGTACCCTTTATTTGCGAAGGATAAACGATCAATCAACAATGGCGCTAATTTTCAAAGGTTTTTTTTGTCAACGTTGTTCTTTGAGAAGAACCTTACTATTTTGGTTGAACGCGTGTGGTTAACCAATGACTAATACTGGCTCCCGTCCAAAATCATTTCTCTATTTGTCTCTATTAAAGACCCTCACCAACGTACCTACACTTTTTTTTTCGATGACTAAACCCAAAAGAATACAACTTGCTACTCGAATGTAGCAAGTTTATTCGGTAGATATACAGGTGTTTTTCAAATCTAAAGTACTATAATATTATTACTAAACATATTTCTATACTTTTTTTTAAGTTCAATGAAATTTAGCAATTCAGAAACAGCTTTATCGTTGATTTTAGGATATCAATATCCTAAAATCTCTTGTTTCGTTTAAAATCCTGAATCCTCAGCATCGTTTCGGATTTAAGGATTTAAAGAGAAGTAAAACTAGCCCATTATTTACCTGCCAGATACAATCCCACCGGTTCAGGTAAACAAAATCCCTTCTGTGACCCTCTACTTTTCTTTGGAAACATCTGTCGTGTATGTGCGATACGGGAGCGTTCACGAGTTTACGACAAGTTCGAACTGGTTCGGAACCGGAAGACCGATTTCGCGACCAAACGATAAATTTCTTTGAGCCCACAACGTAAAAGAAGAACGGAAAGATAAAAAAATATAAAAAAAAAAGGATCGGGAGAGAAACGGTGTATGTACAAGTTCAACAACCCGATTCGATCTTTTACGTGCATCTTGTTTAAAAACGAGTACTGTTAATTTTAAAAAAATTTACTTCAAAAATTTTGATTCAAAACTTTTAAACTTTAAATATTCGTGGAATTAGTAATTTTTTTTGTGCAAACTTGATGATGCAAACTTGAGTTATGACTATGGAAAAGAGTAAGATCTATCTTATGGCTTTAGTTCTGCGGAATTATGTTATGGAAAGACTTATGCTAAAGGACTTATGGAATGGAAGAGATGCTAATGAACCAGTGGTGGTTAGTTATGAATTAAAACTACTTAAAGGATAGAAAAGCATCAAAGAAATATGATAAAAAATTATCATATTGTGGAATTTTGGCCGTAGTGATTAGAATGTAGTTGTTGAAGAATAAAAATACTTGAATCTGTATACATATATATTTAAATTCTGTCAGAAACTTTTTCAATACTATTAAAAGTATATTTTCTTTGTAAACGTTTAACTTAAAGTTTTTCTTTTCTTTACTAAAGAGTTCATTCACGTGAAACAAAAATAACACCTGCTCCTCGCACACATGTTCGGATAGATTCTAACTTGGTCTTTTTTTGTGTGTGAGGGTTTTATAACCTGATGACACATTAGTAGGCCGACCCCCGCGGCTCAAAACCGTGACCGGCAGACCGTAAGGATCTCACGTGGATGTTGTTGGTTCTTTTATAATTCTCTTTTTTTTTTTTTGTCACTTTCTGACGTTTCTTTTTCTTCTGTTGCAGTGGTGGTACAGGTGGACGGAGAACCAGTTAGAGTTGAACTATGCGACACAGCTGGAGAGGTGAGTTTATATAATTTACCTTCGTTACAGTACCGGCTTTTACTGCTCAATTTTCTTGTACAAACTCAAGATATAACGATATTATAAGTAAACTAACAAAAAATTTTTTTAGAATTAATACGTAAAGTATATTCGTAATAAGATGGATAAAAATAAATTGTGAGTAAAAAACCAAAGTGGCGCGTGTACTTAATTATCGATAAATTTTGTATAAATTGTTTTATCTACAACTATTGAATTATCTATTCGTTATACATTTGATTTTTGACGGGTAATGACACGCATTACTCATGACTGACAAAGTGTTGAATAATGAAGCCATTATTGCACAGTTCTGACACGGCCTACTAATCAAAAAATAAAATATTAACGGAAATGACTTATATTGAGGTTATGTCTGAAATGTCTATCAAGTTTATTTTTTTCCTTTCTTTGATTTTTTTTCAAAATTAAGTAGTTGTAGATAAAGTATAGTATTCGACTTGCGTATAATGTATGTTACCCACTCAGATTACACAGATTAACTTCATCTTCATGGGTAACAACCGCTATTATACGCTTGTTGAATAATATACTATTATCTACGACTGCTTGGATAAGTCATCATTATCGCACGCATTTGAGGTGATTTGAGTTACGTAATGAAGTTCATTACCGCACTGGTTTCATTACGTAATGCATTTTTAGCCTAATCAGAACCGTCTTAATTTATTGAAATAAGCAACAATACAAAAGAAAAAGTGCTATCTACTTACACAGAAACAATACTATTTATTATAAACATTAATTGTTATGTTTTTACATTTCGAAACACTTATTCCAAATGAGTAAACATGTTGTTGAAACTGACAATTCAAAATTNTATTGAATTATCTATTCGTTATACATTTGATTTTTGACGGGTAATGACACGCATTACTCATGACTGACAAAGTGTTGAATAATGAAGCCATTATTGCACAGTTCTGACACGGCCTACTAATCAAAAAATAAAATATTAACAGAAATGACAGCTTTCTTATATTGAGGTTTTGTCTGAAATGTCTATCAAGGTTATTTTTTTCCTTTCTTTGATTTTTTTTCAAAATTAAATAGTAGATAAAGTATAGTATTCAACTTGCATATAATGGATGTTACCCACTCAGATTACACAGATTAACTTCATCTTCGTGGGTAACAACCGCTATTATACGCTTGTTGAATAATATACTATTATCTACGACTGCTTGGATACGTCATCATTACCGCACGCATTTGAGGTGATTTGAGTTACGTAATGAACTTCATTACCGCACTGGTTTCATTACGTAATGCATTTTTAGCCTAATCAGAACAGACTTAATTTATTGAAATCTATCGAAAGTGCTATCTACTTACAGAGAAACAATACTATTTATTATAAACATTAATTGTTATGTTTTTACATTTCGAAACACTTATTCCAGATGAGTAAACATGTTGTTGATGACTTTTTTAAAGAAATTAATTTTTTAGTAATTTTTAGCAGTCGTAGATAAAATGCTGTATACCACACGTGGGCTAGAGCATAATTCTCCACACTCGTACAGTAATTATGTTTCTAGCCCACTTGTAATATAAATAACTATTATTAAATTGTTTCTCGGAATAAATTGACACTAAATCCGAATGTTTCTAGTTCTACATCAAATGCAAGCTCAAGTGATAGTGCTAGTGTTAGTTCTAATAGCTTGAAATAACATTTGCATATAGATACTAGTGTTAGTTGTAATTTTAGTTCAAATTTTAACATTGATTTATAGCAACAGGGGCAGCAGGTGGTAGAAACTTCTCGTTGAAAATTACCCCTATGCGTTTTAATTACGTCCAATTTAGTTCCTCAGAGAAGGGTTATATGTGTCTAGCGGTGTTCAACCGTCCCTTAATTGGCGTTTTAAATTCATTTTCTGCCGTATAAAAGGGTGGAGGAACGAATTTAATCATGTTGCAATTTCCGTGGGTTTATTGCTCATTTATCGTCATATGAAAATTACCTGTTAAAGTTTATCTTTCGGAAATACTAAATAAATATGGTTTATTTATTTAAACGTACTACGTTTTTGGATTATCAGGTGACACCGTGACTCACCAACTTGCTTCCTTCTTTTAGAATCCCCTCAAGTATTATTACTCATTGGATGACAAAGAACTTAATAATTTTAATTTTGTAGGTAACATGTTAATTTCGTTGCGGTTAACCATATTCTTTGATCTTTCTCGGTAACATTACAGCATCAACCGTAAAATTTAGTACTTCGCTTGACAAAGACCGTCTGCGCCTTTCTTCTTTTCCTTCTCATATTTTTTTTTATTTTTGCTGTTTTATTTCATCCGGGCAGTTCCGTTTTGGTCGAGCGATTTAGTGGGAACGCGGCCTTATCGTGCACTTTGTATAGTTTCTCTACCTTTTTCACGGTTCGCGAACTCTACGAATAACGATAACGCTGAATTTTCCAAACTAATTTACCTTTCACCCATTAAAAATCGTCTAAATTAAAAGGTTCAATTGAAATAATGAGTACGATTTATTATTTAAAATCATTAATCTCATTTGAGTACAATAACGAATTAGACTCCATTAAGTGTATTCGGAGATTTAATTGATAATGATGTAATAATGTAATCAATAAAATAATATGTTATAAAGTTCACTACATCATAAATATCAAAATAGTATCATTTTATCACGGTTTGTGGTTAATGTGGTCTCGAGAATGGAACAACCTCAAACGGTCGATTATCTTTTTCAATTTGGCAACCTTATTATTAGTTTTTTTTTACTTTGGATATTGATGTTGACTTTGGCATGATAATAGAACAACACTTTACTGTGAGTTTATGTTTATCAATTTGGATCCGATTTTGATATCGATTAATTTATTCTATCTTTATTACATACTGCAGTCAATTTTGTATAACCATGTTTGTAGGAGATTTTAACATAAAATTATTGAAGAAGAGAAAGCGAGAATGAAATGAAAGAAAGTTGTAGGAGGAAGTTAAAGTTCTCGTTAATTGCGAAAAGAAATGGGTACTTTGAAAGAATGGAAAATCTTCGAGATAGAAATTTATCATATTACATTACATTACATTACATAGAATACATATCGGGTAGGCGGACCAACTCTTAACGAACATTAATACCTTGCTCGGCGAAAGGTCATTCAGATCTTTTGAGGAGATACACTGCGACCCAAAAATCGAGAATCTGATACGGTTAACGGCAGGGCAGTGGCATAAAACATGCTCAACCGTCTCTGCTTCCTCCGCACATAGTCGGCATTCAACATCGTCGGCTAAACCCAACAAGTTGAGGTGTGCTTTTAATCGGCAGTGCCCAGTAAAAACACCCATTAGAACTTTTATGCTACTACGGGCAAGTCCTAAAATATTCCCGGGTTTGACAGTGGCGATGTTAATAAACACCTTAGCATGTCTCATTCCAGGAGAACTGGTCCACAGTAGGCGAAGTCTCTCTTCAGCCCACAGTCCAATCCTATATTTGGCCATCGCAAATGATACACCAACTGCTGGTTCCGGTCCCACAAACGCTTCAGCGCTGCCATCTCGTGCTAGCTTATCTGCCGCTTCATTGCCAGCAACCCCAGAGTGACCCGGGACCCAGATCAGAGAGACTCTGTTATCACAACTCAGTGTGTTTAATGTTCTCTTACAATCATTAACCAGAGCCGACACCGTTTTCACGGCTTGCAGCGCCTGGAGAGCGGCTTGACTGTCTGAGAAAATTCGTACTGTCATGTTCTTCACCCCTCTTTCAAGAAGGATTTTAGCACCCATGTCAATAGCAAATACTTCCGCCTGGAATACAGTACAGTACGTACCCAGGCTGTAGGCTTGCTTAATTCGAGGTGTCTGGCAGTATACTCCTGCTCCTACCCCTTCAGGCGTTTTTGATCCATCTGTGTACAAGCAAATGTCTGCCCGAACCAGAGAATTTTCATTTTCGATCCAGGACTGCCGCTCAGGCAGTACAATCTGGTATTGAGTATTAATCACTGATAGTGATACCGCCAAATCTGACGGCATTGATAGCACAGTATTAGTGCTTATAATGTCTTCCGCAGCCCATTGGTAGGACATGTCGGAACAGTTTTGAGCATATTGCTTAAATCTGTAAATGGTTGTTCTAGCCACTTTCTCTATATGCAAATGCAGAGGAGATAGACCAAGCAGAACCTCCATTGCTAGAGTTGGCGTTGTGCCTATCGCACCAGAGATTGCCAATCCAGCTACTCGTTGAATTCGTGAAAGTTTACTGATAACTGAAGTCTGTTGGACTTTCCTATACCAGGCTGCTGCTCCGTATGTGATTATAGGTCTAACCACAGTCACATAGAGCCAGTACTACAGTCTTTCAGGGGTAAGACCCCAATTTTTTCCACAAAGACTGCGACAAGTCCACAAGGATAGTCTCGCTTTGAGCAAAACTCCCTGCAAATGTCTATTCCATGACTGCGTTTTGTCTAGGATTACTCCTAGATATTTGACTTCCTTTGAGAAAGGAATTTCTTCACCTTGGATAGTTGGGCGGATTAGTCCATCCAACTTTCGCTTCCTGGTGAAGGGCACAACAATTGTCTTTTGCGGGTTTATTGAGAGGTTCTCTCCCTTACACCAAGCGCAAATGGTATCTAGGGTCACCTGGAGAATTTGTCATATACTTAACTCGAAACTTTACCACTTTTATCACCTCCTGATAAATTTATCCGATAGATAAATCCAGTTCTTAGCCAATGAGAGCGCTTAAAACCGTGGTAACCATGGCAACTATCCTCTAGATAGTTTATCAGGAGGATGGTAAAAGTGGGCCTAAAACACCTATTTGTCTAAAATATAAATACTTTACTGTAAACTTTTCTTCTTTCATCTTTATCATTTTTATCAAAAAAGAGGCTATTATATGCCACCCAGCTGCATTTTTAAGCACTATCCTTATGTATTAGTACGGCAGATTTTGTTCT